CCCCCCCCCCCCCCGGCCTGCCCCATAATAAAGATCCTGTCCGAGGTGTGGTCGATCGTAACCCAGCTTCGGGAAGAGGCCCTGCCGTTTCTCGCTGCCGCGGAGCACGAAGAAGCCCCTCCGTCCCCATCTCTTCCCCCGTCTCCTCCCTTGTCCTCGTCGACGGGCAAGGCGACGGACCCGGCGGCGGCGGCGGTGACGGGCGGGGCGGCACCCACGGGGGGCGCAGCCGCTGTGGCGGGGGTGGCGGCTGCGGTGGAGCACTGGACGAAGGCCGCGACGAAGTTGAAGGCAGGGGCCCAGCAAGATGTAGCAGACGAGGACAGGGGGGAGGGGGCGGCGGAAGCGGCGGTGGGGGCTGGGGTCGAGGCGAAGAAGTCTCTGGCGTCGACGCTGCTGGTGGCGCCTCGCCTCCACCCCTTCAACGCAGCTCAGTTCGAAAACTTCGCGAGGACCCTGGCCATCGCGCTCAAGCAGGCACCCATAGTGGACCGGATCGAGGTGGAGGTGGGTGGACGCCCGCGCTGTGGTAGGGAGGGGGTGGGGTGGCGGGGGGCGCTACCTCTGTGTTTCGGGTGTGTGTGTACACGCGTAACGTTGTTGCCACAACACTAAATTGCTTCTGCTGCTGTCGGGTGTGTTTTTTTTGGGGGTAATTTGCGGTTTGCGACGTTAGATATTGGGCGCTGTCGCTACGCAGCTGGTGCTAGATAGCCTGTTTCGCCATCTGCCGGTTTGCGGGCTCCCTGGTCACATGCGGTCCNCCCCCCCCCCCTCCCGCTTTCAACGGGCCGCTTTTTTTCTCGCACCATCCACAACTATCAACCCCAACCAACCAACGGCACCGGGTTTGCAGGTGTACCACCCGGAGTTGGTGTGCGATGGAGGCGTCATCGATCTCGACCGCCGTTCGCCGTACCCGACCCTTCTCCTCAAACACTGCGGCCTAAAGGACGTTCTGTTCGAGCCGAGCGGGAACTACAGGTACAGAGCTGCAGGTTGGCGTATACGTAAGACTAATGCCATGATTCCGGGTTGTTACCGTTGTCGTTGTTGTCGATGGTCTTCGTATCCGCAGGCTGACCCCACCCGTGAGCGTGCGCTTGTTCAGTTAGCATTCAAGCGCGCCGTCCGGCGGCCTCACCACGATATTTGTTGTCTTGCTCTCAGGCACGTCCTTCCACCTCTCAAGCTCCCGCTGGAGGACGAAGACAGCGAAGACGAGAGCGAGAATGAAATCGACGACCCAGAGGGAAACTCCTCCTCCTCCTCCTCGGCGCCCCCCCCGGGCCCGTTTGGCGAGGTGTCCGCGGACGATGCCCAGCTTTAGAGAGAGTCGTCGTCGTTGTTGTTTTTCTTCGGACATACACCCAGTCGAGCGGCGCTCGGTTCCACGTTGTCGCCGGTGGGTGCTCCAATGATGATGGGCAGAGCAAAAACGTGTGGTTGACTACCGATGGAGATTCTTTGTCCGATATACCGTCGACGCGTGGTGGCTTCTGGATTGTGTAAGTCCTGAACGAACCGAGGTTTGGTTGTGTTTGTTGGCGCGCTGACTGACGGTGTCTGCCCCTCTGGGAGGGAAGGCGATTTCACACTTGTTGTGTGGTGTGGTTTGTAGCACAAGTTTTGGGTGGGTGTGCTGTTTTTTTGCCGAGCGAGCGACCGCGGACGTACTCGACGAGAACATTGGCCATTCGGAGAGCGGCGGCTGCTTCGCAGCGGCAGGACTAACAATCTGACTGTCGTGATGGTGTGTGTGTGTGTGTGCGTTGTTGTTGCGCTTGGTGGGGTGGTCCGTTTATGCGAATAACCCTCTCCAGTGAAATGTGCCAAACGAGATATAGGCGTCCCAGGACGTAGTGTCCTTTCGAGGAGGAAGGATGAAAGGAAAGGCAGGGTTAAGCGCGGCTCGGCGCCCTCTGGCACACAGGAGTAGTAATCGGGCGGGTGAACGAGCAAATGGATAGATGATTTGAGCCAATGGTCTATTGGGTGGGGCAGAAGGCACCACGTACCGAAGGTGAGGTTGGGGTGACAATAAGANGGGGGGGGGGGGGGGGGGGGGGGGGGGGGGGGGGGGGGGGGGGGGGGGGGGGGGAGCAAGGAGGAAATATAATAAAAATCAAGGGGGGGGGGGCAAGCGTGCGGACGGACCGACAGAGAAGAGCGACAGAGAAGAGCGACAGAGACGGGCAATGATTAAAGGGTTGTACTTCGCTGGGATGTAAATATGGAGGATAGCTGTCAGTCGGGGGCGGGGGTGGCGGACGATCGGCACCTCCACAGGCGGGTGGGGTGGGAGCGGGGCTTTTTGAGGCTGTTGCTGTTGGAGGCTGAGATTTATGCTTGACGGGGGTTGAATCCCTGCCTGTCGGACTGGCGACTTTCTCGGTTGCCTGCTACTGCTGCTGCGATGACCGGCAATCGTGTAGAAGAAGGGCGACGGAAGAGAAAGAACGCCTCCTCTACGTTACGTATTGTGTGTCTAGGGCAATTGGGGGGGGGGGGGGGGGGGGGGGGGG